AACTGGGTTCCATGGGAGCACTAGGTTGTTCAGGTTTAGAACTGGGTTTCTCAGTGGGGAGGGAGAAACTGGGTTCCATGGGAGCACTAGTGGGGAATGTAAAACTGGGTTCCATGGAAGCACTAGGTTGTTCGGGTTTAAAACCAGATTTCTCAGTGGGGAGGGAGGAACTGGGTTCCATGTGAGCACTAGTGAGGACTGAGAAACTGGGGTCCATTGGAGCAATAGGTTGTTCAGGTTTAGAACTGGGTTTCTCAGTGGGGAGGAAGGAACTGGATTCCATGGGAGCACTAGTGAGAATTGAGAAACTGGGGTCCATTGGAGCACTAGGTTGATCAGGTTTAGAAATGGGTTCAGTGGGAAGGGAGGAACTGGGTTCCATGGGAGCACTAGGTTGTTCAGGTTTAGAACTGGGTTTCTCAGTGGGGAGGAAGGAACTGGGTGCCATGGGAGCACTAGTGGGGAATGAGAAACTGGGTTCCATGGAAGCACTAGAGGGGAATAAGAAACTGGGTTCCATGGGAGCACTAGGTTGTTCAGGTTTAGAACTGGGTTTCTCAGTGGGGAGGAAGGAACTGGGTTCCATGTGAGCACTAGTGAGGAATGAGAAACTGGGGTCCATTGGAGCAATAGGTTGTTCAGGTTTAGAACTGGGTTTCTCAGTGGGGAGGAAGGAACTGGGTTCCATGTGAGCACTAGTGAGGAATGAGAAACTGGGGTCCATTGGAGCAATAGGTTGTTCAGGTTTAGAACGGGGTTTCTCAGTGGGGAGGGAGGAACTGGATTCCATGAGAGCATTAGTGAGAATTGAGAAACTGGGGTCCATTGGAGCACTAAGTTGATCAGGTTTAGAAATGGGTTCAGTGGGAAGGGAGGAACGGGGTTCCATGGGAGCACTAGGTTGTTCAGGTTTAGAACTGGATTTCTCAGTGGGGAGGAAGGAACTGGGTGCCATGGGAGCACTAGTGGGGAATGAGAAACTGGGTTCCATGGACGCACTAGAGGGGAATAAGAAACTGGGTTCCACGGGAGCACTAGGTTGTTCAGGTTTAGAACTGGGTTTCTCAGTGGGGAGGAAGGAACTAGGTTCCATGTGAGCACTAGTGAGGAATGAGAAACTGGGGTCCATTGGAGCAATAGGTTGTTCAGGTTTAGAACTGGGTTTCTCAGTGGGGAGGGAGGAACTGGGTTCCATGGGAGCACTAGTGAGGAATGAAAAACTGGGGTCCATTGGAGCACTAGGTTGTTCAGGTTTAGAACTGGGTTTCTCAGTGGGGAGGGAGGAACTGGGTCCCATGGGAGCACTAGTAGGGAATGAGAAAAAGGGTTCCGTCGGCGCAATAGGTTGTTCAGGTTTAGAACTGGGTTTCTCAGTGGGGAGGGAGAAACTGGGTTCAATGGGAGCACTAGTGGGGAATGAGAAACTGGGGTCCATTGGAGCACTAGGCTGTTCAGGTTTAGAACTGGGTTTCTCAGTGGGGAGGGAGGAACTGGGTTCCATGGGAGCACTAGGTTGTTCAGGTTTAGAACTGGGTTTCTCAGTGTGGAGGGAGAAACTGGATTCCATGGCAGCACTAGTGGGGAATGAGAAACTGGGTTCCATGGGAGCACTAGTTGGGAATGAGAAACTGGGTTCCATGGGAGCACTAGTGGGGAATGAGAAACTGGGTTCCATGGGAGCACTAG